CTGGGAAGAAAACGGAAAGAAAACGGGGTTCATTAGGCACGGCGGGATGCGGGTTCACAGAGGAGAGAAAAAAACTGGAATGTGCTTGCGTTTATGTGTTGTGTTTGCGTGGTATATGTGTGTGTGTGTGTGCTGTGTTGCGTTTGTGTGTACTGTGTAGTGTGTGTATTGTCTGTTGTTGTGTGTGTAAGTATATGTATGTTGTGTTTGTGTATGAATACATATACTGAAAAGTAAATTGATAGATAGAAAGACATACACACAGAAAGATAAATAAATAGATCTATATATCATATCTAACCGATAACCGATACTCTAAACATCACACAGATAAAAGAAAAACAAACAAACAAAAAACTGTCAAATATAAACTGACATAAAAAACTGGCACTTCAAGGAAATCCGGTCCAGTTGGTAGAATTTGCAGCCATTCACAGAAGCAAACGCGCCTCAAACCGTCTTTTTAATCTTCGAAAGTGTTAAAGCAAAGGATAATTTGAATCATCACTCGTTCGTAGAGGCGGAGGGAGGGTTACACGAGACCATTCAGAATGTTCAGTGTTCAGTATACGGGACTAAATATGCTATATATATATATCTATATCTATATCTATATCTATCTATCTATCTATCTATCTATCTATCTATCTATCTATCTATCTATATATATATATATATATATATATATATATATATATATATATATATATTATGTGAGTGTGTGTGTGTGTGTCTGAGTTATGTGAGTGTGTGTGTGTGTGTGTGTTTGGGTGTGTGCGTGTTCGTGTGTACATGTACAACATCACACACACACACACATACCTGTAAATACAAATATATATTCTAAGATAGTTAGATATATAGATGGAGACGTTATGTAAATACACACGCACGCACGCATACACACACATACACACACGCGCAGATCAATTATATAAATAAGTAAAACACACCCACTTGTACCCAAACTTCCTCTTCCTTTCCGCTGATTCTATCTCTCTACTTCTCTCATCCATCCCTTTATCACTCTCCTCCTCTTCCCCCCTCTCAACCTCTCCCTTTCCTCTCCTCCTCCTCCTCCTCCTTCGCTCTTACACATTCTTCATCAGCTCTATCGCCTTTTTAATCCTCGAGACACCGAATAACATATGTAGAAAATGTATGAATGAAATTAATATCTTCACATACATTTCTGACGTATTCGAAACCTTACAAATACACCTCTTGTATCGTGAAGATATTCATTTTTCATTCATATCTCTCCTACATTTGTCGCAGTGAATATAGTATGTCAGTATATGTTTACGGTGTAACCCTACACTATATAGTATATCAATATCATGAGTACGCTATATCAGTACATGTTATTGACATCTCTTTATGAAGGTTATCGAGAGCGAAGGCCAGAGTATCCCTCATTGTTCTGGACGCACGCTGATACACCGAGGAGGAGGCACTCATAACGGAGGAAGGATTTTAACTGTGGGTGAGGAAGAGGAGGAGGAGGAGGAGGAGGAGGAAGAGGAGGAGCAGGAAGAGGAGGAAGAGGAGGAGGAAGAGGAGGAGGAAGAGGAGGAGGAAGAGGAGGAGGAGGAAGAGGAGGAGGAGGAAGAGGAGGAGGAGGAAGAGGAGGAAGAGGAGGAGGAAGAGGAGGAGGAGGAGGAGGAGGAGGAGGAGGAGGAGGAGCAGGAGGAAGAGGAGGAGTAGGAGTAAGAGGAGGAGGAAGAGGATGATGATGATGATGATGAGGGGGGGGGGTAATATTGATGGTGAGGATGATGAGGAAGATTCGGAGGAGGATGGGGATAGGGATGAGGAGGAGGTGGTGATGGTGATAGTGACAGTAATATGGTGATGATAAAAAGCTAAAAAAGATGATGGTAATGATAATGATAATAATGACAATAGTAATAGTAATATCAATAATAATGATAATCAGAACAATAAAAGTAGCAGTAATAATAACAATGATTATGATAACGAAAACGACAACGACAACAACAACAACAATAATAATAATAATAACAATAACAAAATAACTATTGTCTCATCCGCCTACACACTTACACTCATACTCACACACACACTTCGCAGGAGGTAAAATAAAAGGAAAAGGAGGAAGCAGAGATGAGAAGTTGGGTAACGTGATTTCTTGTAGAAATGTCGAGATTTACATTATGTAATTATGTAAGACGAGGGTCGATTTGCTCAACGAAGCTTCTGTTGGAATCATATTTTTTAAAATGATTTTTTGTTCTATGATTTTTTTTTTCTGTTTTCTGTTGATATGGATACAAAATATTACCTCAGTGTTTCCCTTTCAATGAAATATTTTTGAAATGTCATCAATGGCAGTTTTAGTCTAAATGAAGTCGGAAACGTGTTTCTCGAAGCAAGTTTCGATGTCTTTCTTGACTTAAGTTTAGATGTCTTTCTAGTAACATACATAGTTAGTATCAAGCTGGGAAACTTTAGTTCAGATATGCCAATACGACTTAAGTTATCTATTCAAACTACTCGGGAATTAAAGGGACACTTTAGACCGAAACGTGTATTGATTGACAGAGACCAGGCAATCACTCCCTATACAATATTCAGCGATACCCATTCGTCCATATAATTACTTTCCTGTAATTTCTTTTTGGGGGAACTGTTAATTTCCAATGTAAATCTCCCGGAAGAAAGGAACAGAAATTTTTAAAAAGGCAATTATTCCAAAGTCGTCATTTCAGTCTTCACGTTGTCCCAGCCAAAGACTCAAATCATTATCGAAATATTTAGATTTCCTAGAATTCCGGGTCACAAGCGAAGAACCTACAACCAATAATAGTATCTTGGAGTTACAGCACTCCTTACAGGCTAGTTTCGTCCTCATACTTGCTAAGTCCCATATCTCCTATCTCCTATCTCTAAGAACTGCTAAACCTTTAGTCATTTGCCATTGCATCAGGTCATGCAGTATAGAAAGATTATCAGATATTCAGTCATCTTAAAAGTCACAGCTCCTTGAATGCAAAATAATCACAATCTTCAATCTCACTGTCTCCTAGTTCCTAAAGTAAGCATAGTTATTACCCTAACACCCCTGCATTTGTCTCTCTTTCACAGTTCCCTGAATACAGAATAAGTACCTTCTTAAATCCCCTTGCACTTACCCCTTTCTCCCTGTTCAGGAATAATCAGTGAGCCTTAAAGCATCTTAGGTCTCGCTGCTGTGAAGTCGTCAGGGTCTGAGAACCCTCGCACCTCCTTTTCACTCACCTTTAAGAAATTTTACGCATCTCGTTTTTTCCTCTCTTTCTTTCCCTCGTTCTTTTCCTCCTTCGGTCGCCTAGCAATCGGTGGCCGTGAGTAGTTTGCATAATCTTTAATCTCTCGAGGCCACACTCACACGCGCGTACGCACGCACGCAGGCATACACACACACACACACACACACACACACACACACACACACACACGCACACACACACAAATAAAAAATAAAAATTAACACAAAACACACACGTATATACATAGACATACACACACAAAACACACACATTCATTCACCCCTCAAACATTAAATACACATACACATGTACATACAAATATAAACAAAAGAAAGAGGGATAGATATAGGAAAGATCCATCCTCCTTGAGTGGCTGAACAATACTGACAACCGAGGCGTTTCAAAATACCCAATTACGATAACAGTGGCACTCGTTCGGCGTTTCACGTTACCCATTTAAGTACACAGTGGCACTCGTTGTTTCTTTCTTCTTCTATTAGTGGTACTTTTTCATACTTATTTGTATCCATTTAAGGGCTAAGGTTCCGTGAATTCTATGTGTTAGTCTTTACATTACTTTTTAACTTAACTATCAGTAACACTGTAGGACTTCTAATAACATTGCTGGAACCATGACTAGCACAGTTGGTATTCCTTTTTAATCATTTATTTATTTCATTACCTTTTTCTTCTTCAAATAGTTGTTGTCGTAGTTGTTATCAGGTTTAATATTATTATCACTATTACCATTATTAATCTCACTACGTTATTATTATCACTATAACTATCATTTCTTCATCATCCTCATCCTCATTATCATTATCATTTCTAACACTACTACTCTTATAAGCTACTCCCAATCAAACCCATCATCATTATCGCCTCTTATCATATGACATTATCTCCCTCGCCACATCCTCCTACGGCTTCCCTGCGCCGCCAGCCTCCCTCGTCCGGCCATGGGGAAGGGACCCCCGCCGCCTGAGGGCAATTTTCATCAAAGGGAAAAGGAGAGGCTGTTTCCTTTTGACTCTCCCGAGGCCGCCCCAGCACAGATTTTTTTTCATCCTTACGTAGGCAATCATAGCGACCGAAAATAGGAAAAATGCCATAGCAGTCAGGCGAATTAAGTTGCACTAAACGATACTGTATATATGAGTATATATATGTACACACATATGTATACACACGCACACACACACACACACATACAAACACACACACACACACACACACACACACACACACACACACACACACACACGCACATACACACACACACACACACACACATACAAACACACACACACACACACACACACACACACACACACACACACACACACACACACACACACACACACACACACACACACACATATATATACATACATACATGCATACACAAATATGTGCATATATACACATCCATATAACACATACACACATAAAGGGAAAAACTGGGAAAATGACAAAGGTGTTTAAAGTCTACGGTGATATTACACAGTATTTCACTTACTGAAAGTGTGTTTATGTTCATGTGTAGGACCAGAAATACAGGAAATACACGATTCATGTCACAATACATTTCCAATACTCCAGGAAATAGATACCTTACTAGGTTATTGCATAGCGGAGAATGCACGATTTTTTCTTCGATTAACGATATGCCAAAGGCCACAGGAACGGAGTGGAGAAAAAGTAGAAAAAACGATGACGAGACGTTAT